ATGGAAATATCTGATAAGATGCTCCTTTCGTTTTCTATTATCAAGCCAAAACTCAAAATATTTGCTTTTAACAACTACCAATGACAAACAAGAAATATGTGACCCAAGAGGTCAAGATTTGCGTGACTACCTAATTTTGAGGACAGCAAAGTTTGGGAATTTTATAGACGTTACCGGTTAATCCTGGTTCAGAGCTTGGTTTGCCTTTTCAAAAAAAGGAAAAACCCTGAGTTATAACGCGGGGAGCTTGCGCAGTTTTGAGAACCACCTTACTGAGAACCACTTTGCATAGTAGAGTCGATATTTAAACCCATTAAAAAACCTATAAACTAATAATAGAGACAAAAAGCTATAAGCTTTACGTTAATACTTCGAGTCGAGTTCGCGAATTTACAGGAAGAAAGCTACACAATCTCGTTTTAGAAGAATAGTGAAGAAATGATAAATTTGGAAATTTGGAAAAAAAATGGAACCCACGACTTTGTACCCACGACCCACGACTTCGTACCCACGACCCACGACTTTGTACCCACGACCCACGACTTTGTACCCACGACCCACGACCCACGACCATTAGGCAAACTCGCTTAAGGTCATCCCAACCGAAAGACCATTAACCAAAAGAGGAATTCCGAGTCTCAATGTTGCCAGCTCACTATATTTGATCCACTCGGATTCTTGGCGCCATGCATCCTTCAAGTAATGATCCTTGGGAGGTATCGCCCCATGTAAGAAAATCTGAACTTATGATGGATTCCGGATTCCAAGCGCTGGATTACGGATTCCGAGACTCTGGATTACGGATTCCAAAAACTTTTGTATTGCGGATTCCGGATTCCATATCGTTAATTTTCAGATACTTTCTCTGAAAATTATATTTGATATACTTGCCAGTATGAGTAGAATCGTCTATCAATCAAATCAGCATCTGATGACAGATATTCTTGGTGGAGATATTACACAGTGGGGGAGGGACTACATCGGTTCAGTCTAGGTGGAGACGATAGCATTTGAGTGTATATACTTTGAATTTCAAAGTAGCGGATTCCGGATATTCCAAAAGGATCGATTCCGGATTCCATTATAAACTGGATTCCAGATTCCAAGGCCTTGATTCCGGATTCCAGAATGCTGGATTCCGGATTCAAAAGCCTAAAATTTCGTGAATTCCGAATTCCGGATTCCCTTACATGAGGCGAGAGGTAGGATTCACCGAGAGAGCCGATCGGAATCTGCAACAGTATAAACTTATATGACCCTCCCACTTTTTCACTGCCTGTTTTTCATGACCCTCCTTTTTCAGGGGCTCAAAAAGTCATGACCCCTCCCCCTTTACCACATCCTTCTCACCGCTTATTTCTGACTGAAGTCCCTAAAAAAGGCGCTAGAATCAAAATGTTCTCCTGTGGTTTGATTCATGCGGATTGGGTTTTGAATTACCGCTGACGCACGCGGGAAGATAGCGCAGATTCAAATCAAAATGGCGGACATTACGGACAATATTCGTTTTAGTGTTTTAGGAGGGAATCTAGCCAAACGAGTCACGAAGAGCAAGATTCTTGTTGTTGGAGCTGGTGGTATTGGATGTGAGCTGATCAAAAACCTTGTCCTGACTGGTTTTAAGGACATCGAAGTGGTAGTGTTGAGTATTGTTTCAGCGAGTATTATAGTGCTATTCATTGACATTTTAGTTTCCGGATTTTTAAGTTTATTCTGTTGTGTGATTGATCGTTCTGCTAAAGCTCTGCTAGAATGAGTATCAACATCGAAGCCTTGGGTAGAATGATTATCCATTGCTAATTTGATTCAAGTTGGGGATTTATAAGATTTACCATTTATAAAATTTACCATGTTTTTATAAAGAATTGATGTGACCTGGCAGTCGTCGAAATATGTCAATCAGAATTATATACACACTGTAGTAACGCGAAATAAGCTTAATTGAAAGAAAGGTTGTAGTAGTTTGAAAAGGAACTGTTTTTTAATGGAACAGCAATGGTAAAAAGGTAAATTATACACCGTGAAAAGATGAAAAAACTTACTGACGTTTCGGACGCTAGTCCTTCATCGGAGTTGGGGACTAGGTTGATTTTAATTAATTTCTAGGCAGGCTATCAAATCAAGGGGATCCTCTTGTATTCATGCTCAATAGTATTTTACAATTATTTTTGGAAGAAACAAGTAAATAAATGGGGTGACATTATCAAAGGAAACAGGGTTTAATGGTATTTTGACATACTGCATTCCCAATTAAATATAAATAAGTGGTTTGTTATATACCAAGTACATGTCAAATATACATATATAATAGGATATTACACGGTGGCACAAAGATATCAAATTTATCTTCAAGTGGTGAAAATATTTCATGAGTGAGCGCAGTGAAGAAGATAAACTTCATATCTTCAAGGCAATGTGTAATTTTTTAAAAAACCTCATCAATATCTTCACTAGTAAGGATATAGAAAATATGCCACTGAGGTCCCGCATATAGTTCATATGAAAACTATGAGTGCCATATTTAGGGGTTAGAGACTGATTTGAGTGTTTTGTTTACAAATACTCGCACGAGCTGACTGTACAATGAACAAGAAATTTTCCAATACTGCTCACAAAAAAACCTTGTCATCGCTTATTACCACCGCAAGTACAGCAGTGGCACAGCTCAACGAACTGAAGGCATGCGAAGGCGCCTCTGGCAGCTGCTATACAGTCATTGTATGACCCCGGAGCACAGCTCTAACCAGTTTGAATTCGTTGGGGTTGATTTGAGAGGAGGGAGGAAAAACAGGTGGACCGGAAAAACCCTCGGAGTCAGAATGAGAACCATCCAACTCAGCTCACATGGGGTGACTGGGATTTGAACCCCGGACCTCAGATGTGAGAGGCGAGCGTTTTACCCACACGCCATCCTGACTCCCCAAGGGCAGAGCTGAGTACACTGCTATACAAGACTTTTGCCGTTTTTGACAATGACAGACCGAAACAAATATGAGGAAGAAGTTATCAATATCACAAATAAATTAGAAGAAAAACTTTATAAAGAAGCCCAAAATTGGCTAAGACCTTCGTTTAATCCACAACTCAAGCACAAAGACCTTAAAATAATTCAATGATTAATACGTATCCTTTTGTTATTTGTATAACATATTTATATACTCACAGATTTTTCTCGTACTTGTAATTGCTGAAACAAGTATTATACTGTAGTCGTAAAACTATGAGTTCATGAACTGTGGTGTATTCTATACTATATTTATTACTCTGAAGTGGGATATCCAAATAGTATATCATTTAAAGTTGATTTTTAAAGATTTGTTTTACCATTTTTTGCTTTTGTTTTGACTAAATTAACTAGGACCTGCTTTATTTCCAGATCGATCTTGACACCATAGATGTGAGCAATCTGAACAGACAGTTTTTATTTCAAAAGAAGCATGTTGGTAAATCGAAAGCAAAGGTATTTAAAATATGACTGAACAAAGCCTTGTTATTGAGGGATTTGCAGAGGAGGGGATGAGGAGAGGCCCACACATGGTATACCATAAAATGCCAGTCATAATCCTTGGGCTTATACTCATTTGTAAAGGATTTTTGATCGGCTTTTAATGAGGCAGTGTGAGTTGGGGGGGGGGGGGGGGTGCTTATACTGTAAGAAGAAGGAATTGCCCTATTTCACTATGATGTCACATCAAAACAATCTATTGTTTAGACGCAAAGGATCATGGTCGTTGGAGGGGGTCAAATCAACTGGGTGATGGAGGGGTGATGGTTTCTAAAACCATACTCTTACTGTTTTTATCTCCTGTTGTAATTGAGCTGTAATTGAGCCCAACACACTGAGAACCATTAACAGTAAGGTATCCCCTCCAAATACATGGCCCCGAGGACAAACCATTCAAAGGCCTGGCTAACTAAGAATCAAAGACCCCTTAAGAGAATAAATACCACAAGCCACAATGTAGTTTTGGATGTTAAAGTTTAGATAACTATGGTTGATTAATTTTGCTTGATATATAGGTGGCAAGAGAGAGTGCTCTGAGATTTAACCCCAGTACAAACATCACAGCACACCATGATAACATCAAAAGGTCTGTTTGTCTGTTTGTTTGTCTGTCTTTAAAACCTTTTCTCTCTTTTTGTTGCGTTGTCAGTGGTTCTTTTACTCCCCCAAATTGGAGATGAGACTGCCATTTAACATGGTCCTCCAAGTCATGAAGGGATTCACAGTCTCCAATGAATAGAGCCAAGAATTTTACACCTTTACCCCCCAGACAGAGCTATAAATGAACCAATGACCTCTGGAGTGAAAGTTGGAAGCACTAACCACTGCCCTGCCAAGCCCTCTAGGAAGATCCCTCTAGCGTGGGAGGAGCCCTCTAGTGTGGGAGGAGCCCTCTAGTGTG